CTCACCTTTCTGTCCAAGTCCTGCCAGCAGGGAGTCAAGAATCCCCCTTGAGATCTCAGGAGATAAAGCACCTGTGTGCACTGGAATGCCCTGTCTAAAAAGGTCTTTTCTTTCTTAACCCTTTCCAATCCTTAGCCCCACTACCGGGAAGTCTTTCCATTAAGGCCAGGCCTCAAGCTTGCAGTGGAAAATAAGAGGTTTTTAAAGGAAACAAAAACCACCTTCCTCAGCAGAACGTCCCCACACATTTGCTGGGGCCCTTGGCTGCCTCTGCTGGGGACACCCAGCCTTCGGAAGCACTTGTGCCTGCCCTAGCGACGCCACAAGGCCCTTCGAGGCTGGTAAACAGCATGGGGCATTCTCGGCCTGTGGCAAGCATTCATGCCCCGAATTCTTTGTCCTCGTGAGGAGAGACAGAGGGCTGCTCTGTGTTGCAAAGCCCCGAAGCCAGAACGCCACTGTCCACTGTCCAAACCCTGCGCGGGAGAGCACGCCAAGGCTGAGGCGCACATGCCACAGACGTTTCAAGTGTGCTTGCGAAATACATTTGCCCAAACTTGGACTTCTTTCTTGAAAACTTGGGTTTACTTGTTAATTCCAGAGGGAAACCGTGGCACTGTGACAAGGGAGAAACTTGGCAATCTCCTTAATCAAGGGATCGAGGTCATGTGGGTCCTGAGAAGTGACCCCACACTACTTCGGTGGTATTCCTGCCGCCCAAAACTGCATAACCAGAATCTAACCATGAGGAAGTACCAGACAAACCCAGGCTGAGGGACATTTTCACATCAACTGGCCTCATCGGCTTAAAAAAACCTCCATGTCCGGAATGGCCACAAAAAGCTGAGGAGCTGCCCAGGTTAAAGAAACTGAAGAGACCACGACAACCAAGTGTCCTGTGGGAGGATGGACATGGACTGAAGCCCAAATAGGAAAACAGACGTTGCTCTAAGGATATTATGGGGTGGTTAGTAACATTCAAATATGGACTCTATGTCAGATAATAATATATCAATGCTAAGTTTCCTGAACTCGATGATTGCATTCTGGTGATAGAAGAGAACGCCTTTACACGCTGAAGTACTTAGGAGTAAAGGGTCACGGTGTCTGCAATTTACTCTCAAATGATTCCGCAAAAATAATGATAATTATATGTGTGTGTGTGTGTGTGTGTGTGTGTGTGTGTGCGTACACAGGGTCTGGCGCAAATAATGCCCTATATTACAAAATCTTTTATTACAAAATTATTAGCATGTAATTCTGTAACATAACAATATCACAACATCCAAGCACACCATATGACATTCTAGGTGAAATGTTCAAATTAAAACTATAAATTATTACACCCATATTATTGCCCTACCAACCACATTCAAGCAGATGTTACTTCTGCCAGACCCTGTATAGAAAGAGATTAAAATGAGGGAAATTGGTAAATCTAATTGAAAGAGATAGGGATAAGCATTGTCTTATTCTTGCAACTGCTCTGTTGGTTTGAATTCAAAATAACTATTCTTAAAAAAAAAAAAAAGAGGAACATCAGTTACATGCATTAGCTGCATCTCCTAGGTACCATTCATGTCACAGCTAACGTGTGACACCAGAGAGCTAGGGTGAGACGCTGAAGGCGTGAGACACACGTGTACCAGCAACATGCAAAGCCCTGGGGGGTGCTATGCCTTTGCTTTGTGCCGCTGCCATAGCTCAAAACATCTGATCCGGCTTACCAGCCGCACAGGAAAATTGGTTGCACATTCTAATCACATGTTGCTTTGGACCCCAAACAGCCCCATCCACCTAATTAACCAGCCTGGTTCCAAGGATGGGAGACTACAGGAAAGGTCCAGGCCCTTGGACAGCGCCTGTCTTATCGTCTTATTGACATTACAAATGAGGAAGCCGAGACGGAGAGGGATCTTAATTTGTCCAAGGTCACATCTAATCCCACTGCTGCCCAGGCCAGGGTGAGTTTCAGGGTTCTGTCCTAGGAACCTTGGAGCATCTTCTGGGCCTTACAGCTTTTTGCAAAAATCAAGAGAGGAAGATTTTTGTTTCCCTAGCAAAGTAATTTTTTTTTGATGTACAGATGATGTTGAAAGCAGTTCCCAGAGAGAGGGAACAAAAATATTCCTAACAGTAGAGGAAAGGTCAGGGTAGTTCTCCCTACCTCATGCGCAGACATGCGCCGCTACAGCTCCTGCTGGTGGTCCTCCCTCTGCCCCCGCTCACACTGGGTTCCCGGAACCATCTCTCCCTGGACTCTGACTCTGTCAGGCCCAGGCAGCACCAGCTTCCCACCGTCCCCGCAGGGCTCACCACCCCTCACTGGCTCCTTTGCCCCTGCCCGCCCCTCCACAAACAGTCCCTTATTAAAAACCCAGTGGCTGAACTGTCGTCATGTGGAATTCTAGTTCCCGTAAGGACCCTGACAGATTCCGAAACAAGTTTGAGTTGATGAAAAATACTTACTACTATTTGTGAGCACGTGATGCATTTCAAAATAATTTTCCCAATGTCCCTTTTCCCACGCCACTTTCCATCCCGTCACACTGCCGAAAGCCAAGTGCAGCGTCAGGCGGCAGTCCCTGCTGCTATCATCGCTCCGTGCCGGGACTTCCTTCCCAGTCTCCTGATGCTGCTCCCGCAGGAACTGGGACCTCAGAGTTTAAGCTTCGTGACTCTGGACCCTGCAGGACTTTGGGGGCTAAACTGGACCATCGGCAGGGACTGACAGAGCGCAGGGTGGGCGGTGATGGAGGTGTCAAGAGGAACAAAAGGAAAGGGGAACTGAGGATGGGCAGGCAGGATAGGCGGCGGAAGCCCCCTGGGATGGGCCTCCCGGGGCCTCTGGCGCTCCTCCGCGGCCCTCCCATGCTGACGGTCCCTGCAGGTGGGGGCCCCTGTGCTGTGGCCACTGCCTCCAGCCTGAGCCTGATGTAGGAAGAGGGCAGCTAAAACGCTTCTCCAGTTTGAATGGCCAGTTGCATTCTTCCTTTTCCACCTTACTCACCAGCCCCTGACTGTCCCAGCCAGTGAGCTCTCATCTCGAGAGGTAGGAAACTATCACCATCCTCACCATCCCCGGCAGATGTATCTAAATATTGTTTACTCATTCATGCACATGTCTAGGGTTCAAAGCATTCCAGCCCTGACTGGCGTGGCTCAGTGGGTTGGGCAGCGTGCCGCAAAGGGAAAGGTCACTGGTTCGATTCCCGGTCAGGGCATATTCCTAGGTTGCAAGTTTGGTCCCCAGTCAGAGCACATATAAGAGGCAACCATTCTCTCTCTCTCTCTCTCTTTCTCTTTCTCTCTCTCTCTCTCCCGCCCCCTTCCCCTTTCTCTAAAAATAATTAAAAAAAGAAAGAAAAGCATTCCAGTTTCCCACGTCCACCATATCATTTTGTCTGTGGAGGTCAGCAGAGCGAGATTCTGAGGCAAGTGGGGCTCAAAAACTACTTCCTGAATGAATGAACACTGAGGGCCATTACTAAGCCTATTGTCACCTCTGCTTAAAAAAGCACATACACACTTAATTGATAAATTACTGGACCACCTGGGTAGTTCTGCCCAAGGCATCTTTCTAGCATCCCAGCATCCTCTCCGCTAGGTACTCAAGCGCACACCACCGTCACCCATTCATCCTGCCCACCAGGCAGCAGGGCCACACATCTCAGGACGCATGCACGGTCCCACCCCACAGACCTGTCAGCGTCAGAACCGAGGAAGGGCCAAGAATTGGGCTCGAGCTGTGGTTCAGTAAAAGCCCCTCCGAGGAGCGCAGAACCCAGCTGAGGCGGAAGGCAGGTGCACAGGGACACGTGTGCCGGTAGGTACGTGCGCTCTCACTCCTGGACTCCACACCCACCCTCACACTCTCCGTAAAATAACCCGGGGCTGGACCGTGAACCTATAAATGGGGTGTCTGGGCACAGTGACAGCCCAACACCCGAGGGGATGATGACCCTACAGACACTATCCCCATTTTATAGGCAAGGAAACAGGCTCCAGGAGGGTTCAGTGTCTGGTCCAATTCACAAAAGCAGCTGGAAGTCGGTCATCTTAGGAAAGCAGCAAGGGAACCGAACACCTCCCTTGTTACCTCTCCAAAACCAACAGCCTCAGCACCTCCAGGGACACAGGCTGTGCTGGCTGAGGGGGGAGTGAATGGACGAAGCTGGCAAATGCGCATCGGAAATCTGAGCAAAGGCAGGTGACATTCACTCCAGGCAGGTCCCACTGCCATGTGCTGAAACTCCTGACAAAGCTGTACTGGAGAGGGCAGGGCGGGTGGCAGCTGTTCTCTCATCTTGAGGGTCATGGGAGAGCTGCCTCCGCAAGCGGAAATGTAGCAGCCCTGGGAAACGGCGAGGGGACAGAGCTTAGTCTTTTTGCTTTGGTGTAAGAGGGCACTACCCCCTGCCCACCTCCTGCAAGGCTCCCCCGCCATGTATTACCTGCAGAGTTGGAAATTAAAAGGGGACTTTGCTCAGGAGATCTTTCAGAAAGTTTAGCCCTGAAATGGACTAGAAGGAACTATGAAGACGTCTAATATGAGACCAGCACCCTTACTTATTTCAAAGAGGAAACTGAGCCCCAGACAGGACAGGTAACATAAGCTCACCCAGCACAGCTGTGGCCAAGTCAGGATTAGATGGCAGGTCTACAGCTCATAGCCGGATCTCTTTTGACCACTCCAACAAGCCTTTTTAAAAATTCACCGTCTGTATCGTTTTACCAATTTAGAACCATTTCTGAATTGTGTCTTCTTATCTGAGGTGGCAAAGTCGATGAGTGGGTCCTGGGGCTCGGGCTGCCAGCATACCAAGCCTCCGAACGGCGCGGCCAGCCTTACCATGAGAATCAAGAATCCAAGAATTCCTCCCATTACCCATGAACAAAACCAGCGATGCCACTGGGTGGATCCAGTGTGAACTCTCAGGGCTGGTGTGCAGCCTCCTCAGGCTTTCTCCCCTCAACACACAATGCAAAGGCACAAGACATCAGGGTTAATAAACAGCTTTATTTGCCTTTGACAGCATCAGTTTTCTTACATTCTTAATTAAGTTGCCATTAAAGTGCGGGAAAATTTCTTAATCATGATAACATTTGTTACAAGAAATCAAAACTAATCAGGAAAATGGTGGCCACGAGGAAAACGTTTCTCTTACAACACACAGAATGGAAGCCCCCGCATGTTGAGCTAGAGGGTTGGCCAATTTGCAAACAGTTTCTAATTCCCTCTCACTGTAAGCACCACACTGGCTGGGACCACCACCCCTGGGGAAAAAAGCAATGCTAAAGATAATTCTAAAAAAAACACCCGCACACCCAGCCTGCCGACTTCTCTTGGCCATCTTTGGGTGTTTGCTGTTTGAGTAGATCCAATTTTAGGAGAAAATGGAGGTCTGGCCCCCTCTACTGCCCTCTACCCCACCCCCCTTACTAACAAAAGCCCCCAAAGTCATCATTACAATGAAAAAGTGGGTTTCCATTACCCCAACACTAACAATGTTCAGTAAAAATGAAGGTAATAAACACAAAAGCTTGCATAGTAAACAGGAGCTCTCAGCATACAATGCAACAACAAAAAAAAACTGAAATCTTCAGGCAAATACTGCTGACTCTGCATGTGGGCTGGTCGAACTTGGAACTCTTTAGCTATCCGTAGAGCTCCAGGAGCTAAAAGGCAGTTAGCCTGTCAGCACCTGCCGCTGGCAGAGGCCAGGTCTTTGCATTACTGCTGAGGCTGTCGGCGTGTTCCTCTTTGGAGGTTATATACAAACACACCCGAGGCTGATGTATTTTTATACATATATGTACACAAAGGCCTGCTACTCTTTCTTTGTGGAAACCACCACCTCTACCTCGGGAAGCTGGATGCCAACCTTAGTCCCACTGTCATTGCTAGAAGAAGAGGACAGTCGGGACTTCTTAGAGGCCAGGGACACTCCACTCTCCTGTAACTTGCCTGCCTCCTCGTCACTTCCAGTCACCTCATAATGACCTTTGCTCTTTGACCCTAATCCACCAAAGGTACCAAATTTCAGCTTCCCTTGTTTCCCTTTGACTTTCTCACCTTCCAGCGACACTTCCCCACCTTCAAACTCCAAAGTCCCGGTCGGGGTGGAAGAAGCAGAGAGCTCCCTTTCATCGCTGAAGGAATTGGAGCGGTGCCGTGGCTTCTTACTTTTAAACAGGGAGAATTTGGCTTTGGGTGAAGATGTTTCAGCCTCTGCTTCTCCCTCCAAAGAGCCTAGGCTGGCCTTTGAACTCTTCAGGTCACCTTTGGACCCCGAGATGGATGCTTCTGGTGAGCCAGTGACACCACCTTTCCCTTTAGGTTTGGAAAAATTGAACTTGGGCATCTTGATTTTGGACTTTTTAAGTTTTCCGTCGGACTCTTCCCACTCGCCCTCTCCGACGCCAGGCTGAACACTGGACTCTGCTTTGGGGAAATTGATATCCACCCCCACTTCTCTGCCAACCAGCTCACGGCCAGAGAAGGTGAATTTGGGGATCTTCATCTTAGGGAATGTTACTTTTCCAGATCTGCTTTCCAGGTGACCTTGAGGCCCAGATACACTCAGTCCAGGACCCTGGAGTCCAAACTGGCCTTTCACACCTCCTCCTGCTTTTGGTCCTGAGAAATGAAGTCCCCCAGCATCCAAGTTGAGAGCAGAGGAGACCTGGGGTCCTTTCCACTCAACCCCAGAGCCTTTGACATTCATATGCCCTTCCCCCAGGCTGACATCTGGGGTACTGACACCCCCTGAAACATCAACACCTCCTTTGATTTTCGGACCCTTCAAGCTGATACCAAAATCAGACTCAGGAGATGCCATATTAAATGAAGGCCCTTTCACGCTAATGTCGGGAGCGGCCCCGTGGAGACCTATTCCTGGCAGGTTGCCTTTGATTTCAGGGCCAGAAACTTGCCCAGTGGGGAGTTTCACATTCACACCTGGCAGCTCCATGTCACATCCAGAGGCCTTAATCCCAGGCATTTGGAGGTTCCCTTCTAGGCCTTGCACACTGATGCCTGGAAGACCTCCTCCAACAGAGGGACCTTTCATCTCACCAATGCCCCCAAGGCTCCCTTTTACTTTTGGTCCTTCCAAGTTCAAGTCCAGATCTGGTGTTGAAATCTGAGGCCCTTTCAAGTTGAGTCCTCCAAGGTTCACATCCATGCCTGGCCCCTTTAGTTCTCCAGTAACCTGTGGACCCTTGACGTTAATGTCCAGGTCAGACCCTGGGGTACAGATACCAAACTGGGGCAGCTTCATTTGAGGAAGTTTAAAACCACCTTCAGGTGTCTCCAAGCTTAGATCAGGGGCACCCACTGATACTTTAGGGCACTTCATGTCACCAGAGACAGCCAGGTCTCCCTTCAAACTTGGTCCTTTCAAGTTCAGGTCAAAGTCAGGTCCAGAGACTTTGGGCATAGAGAGGTTCACTGAAGGCAAGTCTACTTTTGGCCCCTTCAGAGACACATCAGGCCCTTCAAGCTTCACATCTGGTAAGCTCATGCCTCCTTCAAGTGAGGGCAGTGGGGCATGGGCTTCTGCTCCCCCGCCCTCCACTTTCACACCAGGAACGCCAATCTTGGGCATCGAAAACTTGGGGAACTTGATTTTCGATTCTGGACCTTGCAGATCTATGTCTGGTCCTTCCAGTCCCACACTGGGGACATCACCCTTTATCTTTGGTCCTTTCAAGTTAATGTTCACATCAGGGATGGAAACTTGAGGGGCAGAAATGTTGAAAGATGGTGCTTTGACTTTAGCATCTGGGCCTTCAATGTTGATATCAGGTGCATCCAAGTTTGCCTGCACCCTGGGGCCTTTCAAGTTGCCCTCCATTTTGGGCCCTGAGACATCGACACCTGGCACCTTCAGCTTGATGTCAGGACCTTCCACATTCATCCCTGATGAAGAAACATCAAGGTCACGGACCTGCATTTCACCCTCCATTTTGGGGGCCTCCGCTTTAAATTTGGGTGATTTGATGTCAAATTCCACATCTGGGAAGTACATTTTTCCAAACATAGTTTTCTTGGTTTTCGGAGACTTTGCATCGACTTTAAGTGCAGCATCTGGCCCTGCAACACTGAGGTCTATGTCAGGAGCCTTGACATTGGCATCAATTTCACCCCCAGGAACATTCAGATCAAAGCCTTGTTTCTTGGTTTTAATTTTAGGACCACTCATGTGAATTTTAGGCATTTTAAACTTACTTTTCTTGCCCTTGCCACCGACACTGATGTCAGGAGTCTCAACGTTCAGCTCTGCCTCAGGAACAGTCACATCGACCGAAGGTGACTTCAGGTCAGCTCTGGGGCCTTTTGCCCCAAATCCAAACTTGGGTTTCTTAAATTTCGGAACTTTAACATCTGGTCCCTCAATGTTAACATCTGGGCTCTCCATGTGCACATCTAAGTTTGGAGCTTCTAAATCAACGTTAGGCCCCTTCAGGTCCAATTCTCCGCCTTCTATTTTGGGACCAGAAATTCCAATTTTGGGTGGCTTGAGATGCAAATCCACATCAGGAACAGTTACTTTAGGAGCAGATATATCCAGTGATGGCATCTTCAAATGTGGGCCACTAAGTTTGGCACCAGGGCCTTCAAAATCCAAACCTGGACCTTTAAGGTCTACTTCTGGGCCTTGGAAAGTACCTTCAATTTTAGGGACAGACACATCAAAATCTCCTTTGACTTTGGGTCCTTTCAAATCTAGATCAATATCAGGCATGGAGATTTTGGGAGCTTTGATATTAATCTCAGGCATCTTGAATTTGGAACCCTTCAGTTTCGCATCTGGCCCCTCGATATTCACATCTGGCACATCAATGTCCACTTTGGGGCCAGAAATATCAATGTCAGCTTTTGGGAGATTCACATCCACTTCTGGGCCCTCTCCTTTGAAGCCAGGCATGCTGAACTTGGGCATTTTCACCTTGGGCATCTTCAGGTGCCAGTCTGGGCCATGAACGTCCACATCAGGGGCATCGATGTCCACTTTGGGCCCCTTGATGTCAATTCCGGGGCCCTTGAGGTCACCTTCCACCTTAGGCAGGGAAACATCAACATCACCTTTTACTTTGGGACCTTTCAAGTTTAAGTCAATGTCAGGCATGGAGATCTTAGGAGCTTTGATGTTCATCTCGGGCATCTTGAATTTGGGACCCTTCAGTTTCGCATCTGGGCCTTCGAGAGTGACGTCTGGAACATCAATGTCCACCTTAGGTCCTGAGACATCAATGTCAGCCTTGGGCAGGTTCACATCTACCTCAGGGCCCTCTCCTTTGAAGCCAGGCATGCTGAACTTGGGCATTTTCACCTTGGGCATCTTCAGGTGCCAGTCTGGGCCATGAACATCCACATCTGGGACATCGATGTCCACTTTGGGGCCTTTGATGTCAACTTCAGGGCCCTTGAGGTCACCTTCCACTTTGGGCAGAGAAACATCCACATCTCCCTTTACTTTAGGACCCTTCAGATTCAGGTCGACTTCAGGCATGGAGATCTTGGGTGCCTTGAGATGCAGGTCAGGCATTTTAAACTTGGGGCCCTTCAGTTTCCCTTCTGGGCCATGAATGTCAATGTCTGGAGTGTCTATGTCCAGCTTAGGGCCTTTAACATCAACTTTGGGGCCTTTCAGATCCCCTTCCAGTTTAGGAACAGAAATGTCCAAATCTCCTTTTACCTTTGGTCCTTTCAAGTTCAAATCAATGTCACTCATGGAGATTTGTGGGGTTTTGAAATGCACATCAGGCATCTTAAATTTGGGGCCTTTGAGTTTCCCTTCAGGACCCTCAATGTCCATCTCTGGCCCTTTCAGACCACCTTCCACCTTAGGCAGTGAAAGGTCCACATCACCCTTTGCTTTTGGCCCTTTCAGGTTTAAGTCGAAGTCAGGCATGGAGATCTTGGGGGCTTTAATGTGCATCTCCGGCATTTTAAATTTGGGCCCCTTCAATTTTCCTTCTGGACCTTCAATATTGATATCAGGAGTATCAATGTCCAATTTGGGTGCCTTCATGTCAATTTGAGGGCCTTCCACTTTAGGCAGAGAGACATCCACATTACCCTTCATTTTGGGGCCCTTCAAGTTTAAGTCAAGGTCAGGCATGGAGATTTTGGGGGCTTTGATGTTCATCTCCGGCATCTTGAATTTGGGACCCTTCAGTTTCGCATCAGGACCTTCGATATTCACATCTGGCACATCAATGTCCACTTTGGGGCCAGAAATATCAATGTCAGCTTTTGGGAGATTCACATCCACTTCTGGGCCCTCTCCTTTGAAGCCAGGCATGCTGAACTTGGGCATTTTCACCTTGGGCATCTTCAGGTGCCAGTCTGGGCCATGAACGTCCACATCAGGGGCATCGATGTCCACTTTGGGCCCCTTGATGTCAATTCCGGGGCCCTTGAGGTCACCTTCCACCTTAGGCAGGGAAACATCAACATCACCTTTTACTTTGGGACCTTTCAAGTTTAAGTCAATGTCAGGCATGGAGATCTTAGGAGCTTTGATGTTCATCTCGGGCATCTTGAATTTGGGACCCTTCAGTTTCGCATCTGGGCCTTCGAGAGTGACGTCTGGAACATCAATGTCCACCTTAGGTCCTGAGACATCAATGTCAGCCTTGGGCAGGTTCACATCTACCTCAGGGCCCTCTCCTTTGAAGCCAGGCATGCTGAACTTGGGCATTTTCACCTTGGGCATCTTCAGGTGCCAGTCTGGGCCATGAACATCCACATCTGGGACATCGATGTCCACTTTGGGGCCTTTGATGTCAACTTCAGGGCCCTTGAGGTCACCTTCCACTTTGGGCAGAGAAACATCCACATCTCCCTTTACTTTAGGACCCTTCAGATTCAGGTCGACTTCAGGCATGGAGATCTTGGGTGCCTTGAGATGCAGGTCAGGCATTTTAAACTTGGGGCCCTTCAGTTTCCCTTCTGGGCCATGAATGTCAATGTCTGGAGTGTCTATGTCCACCTTGGGCCCTGACACATCAATGTTGGCCTTGGGCAGGTTCACATCCACTTCTGGGCCCTCTCCTTTGAAGCCAGGCATGCTGATCTTGGGCATTTTTATCTTGGGCATCTTCAGGTGCCAGTCTGGGCCTTGGACATCCACATCTGGTGCATCAATGTCCACTTTGGGGCCCTTGATGTCAACTTCAGGGCCTTTCAGGTCACCTTCCACCTTCGGCAGAGAAACATCCACATCTCCTTTGACCTTAGGTCCTTTCAGATGCAAATCAAAGTCTGGCATGGAGATCTTGGGAGCTTTGATGTTCATCTCTGGCATCTTAAACTTGGGGCCCTTAAGTTTTGCATCTGGACCTTCAATGTTGACATCAGGACTTTCAATGTCTACTTTGGGTCCCGAGACATCGATATCAGCCTTGGGCAGGTTCACATCCACTTCTGGGCCCTCTCCTTTGAAGCCAGGCATGCTGATCTTGGGCATTTTTATCTTGGGCATCTTCAGGTGCCAGTCTGGGCCTTGAACGTCCACATCTGGCGCATCAATGTCCACTTTGGGGCCCTTGATGTCAACTTCAGGGCCTTCAACTTTGGGCAGGGAAACATCCACATCACCCTTCACTTTCGGACCTTTCAGGTGCAAATCAAAGTCAGGCATGGAGATCTTGGGGGCTTTGATGTTCATCTCAGGCATCTTGAACTTAGGACCTTTCAACTTTCCTTCTGGTCCTTCAATGTTAACATCAGGACCTTCAATGTCCACTTTGGGTGCTGAGACATCGATGTCAGCCTTGGGGAGGTTCACATCCACTTCTGGCCCTTCTCCTTTGAAGCCAGGCATGCTGAACTTGGGCATTTTCACCTTGGGCATCTTCAGGTGCCAGTCTGGGCCATGAACGTCCACATCAGGGGCATCGATGTCTACTTTGGGGCCCTTGATGTCAACTTCAGGGCCTTTCAGGTCACCTTCAACCTTAGGCAGGGAAATGTCCATATCACCTTTCACCTTGGGACCTTTCAGGTTTAAATCAATGTCAGGCATGGAGATCTTGGGAGCCTTTATGTGCATCTCTGGCATCTTGAACTTGGGCCCCTTCAATTTTCCCTCTGGGCCTTCGATATTAATATCAGGAGTGTCAATGTCCACTTTGGGGCCCTTGATGTCCACATCAGGGGTTTTTAGCTCACCTTCCACTTTTGGCAAAGACACATCCACATCACCCTTCATTTTGGGACCCTTCAGGTTCAGGTCAAAATCAGGCATGGAGATTTTGGGAGCTTTGATGTTCATCTCAGGCATCCTGAATTTGGGACCCTTCAGTTTCGCATCTGGACCTTCAATATTCACATCTGGAACATCAATATCGGCCTTGGGCAGGTTTACATCCACTTCTGGGCCCTCTCCCTTGAAGCCAGGCATGCTGAACTTGGGCATTTTCATTTTGGGCATCTTTAGGTGCCAGTCTGGGCCATGAACATCCACATCAGGGACATCAATGTCCACTTTGGGCCCTTTGATATCAACCCCTGGTGCTTTCAGGTCTCCTTCAACTTTGGGAAGAGAAACATCCACATCACCTTTTACCTTGGGGCCCTTCAGGTTTAAATCAATGTCAGGCATGGAGATCTTGGGAGCTTTGATATTCACATCAGGCATCTTGATTTTGGGACCTTTTAAGCCTCCTTCTAGGCCTTCCACATTGACTTCTGGACCCTCAATGTCCATTCTGGGAGCCTCTATGTGGATATCTCCTTTTGGTAGATCCACAGCCACATCTGGCCCTTCTGCTTTTAAGCCAGGCACACCAAACTTGGGCATTTTCATCTTCGGCATTTTTAAATTCCAGTCTGGACCATGTACATCCACATCAGGTGCATCAAGATGAACTTCTGGTGCCTTAAGGTCTACCTGGGGTCCTTTAAAGTCACCTTCTAAGTTAGGACCTGTAACATCTAAGTCTCCTTTGACTTTAGGACCTTTCAGATTTAACTCCACATCAGGCATAGAAACTTTAGGAGATGAAATACTAAGAAAAGGCATTTTGAACTTGGATCCTTTTACTTTTCCTTGGACCTCAACATCAGGAGCATTGATGTCAACTTTTGGGGCTGTTACATCAATATCTGGCTTTTTAACTTTGACATCCACCTCAGGTGTCTGAACTTTGGAGCCCGAAAAATTAAATTTGGGAAGTTTAAAACGAGATTTCTTTGACTTGCCTTCAACATTGAGCTTAGGACCAGAAATGTCCACTTCTGGGCCCTTTACGTCCAGCTTGGGAGCTTTAATGTCACCTTCCAATTTAGGCCCAGAAACATCAACATCTCCCTTAAGCTTTGAGCCTTTCAAATTCAAGTCAATTTCTGGCATGGAGATCTTGGGCATATTTACATGCATGTCAGGCATCTTCAGTTTGGGGCCTTTTAATTTGCCTTCTGGGCCATGAATGTCAACATCTGGAGCATCTAAATCTATCTTTGGGCCCTTTATGTCAAGAGAAGGCCCTTTCAAATCACCTTCAACAGTTGGAAGTGAAACATCGACCTCTCCTTTCATTTTGGGGCCTTTAAGATTGAGATCCAAATCTGGCATTGAAATCTTAGGAGCTTTGATGTTCATCTCAGGCATCTTGAACTTAGGACCTTTCAACTTTCCTTCTGGTCCTTCAATGTTAACATCAGGACCTTCAATGTCCACTTTGGGTGCTGAGACATCGATGTCAGCCTTGGGGAGGTTCACATCCACTTCAGGCCCTTCTCCTTTGAAGCCAGGCATGCTGAACTTGGGCATTTTCACCTTGGGCATCTTCAGGTGCCAGTCCGGGCCATGAACATCCACATCTGGGACATCAATGTCCATTTTAGGGCCCTTAATATCCACTTCAGGAACTTTAATCTCACCTTCCACTTTTGGTAAAGACACATCCACATCACCTTTCACTTTGGGGCCTTTCAGGTTAAGATCAATGTCAGGCATGGAGATCTTGGGGGCTTTGATGTTCATCTCTGGCATCTTAAACTTAGGACCTTTCAACTTTCCTTCTGGTCCTTCAATGTTAACATCAGGACCTTCAATGTCCACTTTGGGTCCTGAGACATCGATGTCAGCCTTGGGGAGGTTCACATCCACCTCAGGGCCTTCTCCTTTGAAGCCTGGCATGCTGAACTTGGGCATTTTCACCTTGGGCATCTTCAGGTGCCAGTCTGGGCCATGAACGTCCACATCAGGGGCATCGATGCCCACTTTGGGGCCTTTGATGTCAACTTCAGGACCGCTGATGTCACCTTCCACCTTAGGCAGAGAAACATCCACATCACCCTTCACTTTCGGACCTTTCAGGTGCAAATCAAAGTCAGGCATGGAGATCTTGGGGGCTTTGATGTTCATCTCAGGCATCTTGAACTTAGGACCTTTCAACTTTCCTTCTGGTCCTTCAATGTTAACATCAGGACCTTCAATGTCCACTTTGGGTGCTGAGACATCGATGTCAGCCTTGGGAAGGTTCACATCCACTTCCGGGCCCTCTGCTTTGAAGCCAGGCATGCTGAACTTTGGCATTTTCATCTTAGGCATCTTCAAGTGCCAGTCTGGACCATGAACATCCACATCTGGTGCATCAATGTCCACTTTGGGGCCCTTGATGTCAATTTCAGGGCCTTTCAGATCTCCCTCTACCTTGGGACCTGTGACTTCCATGCCTTTTACTTTTGGACCTGTTAAATTAAGATCAATATCTGGCATGGATATCTTTGGAGTTTTAAAGTGCATTTCAGGCATCTTAAACTTTGGACTTTTCCACTTTCCTTCAGGTCCTTCAATATTCACATCAGGACATTCAAGATCCACTTTGGGTCCTGAGACATCGATATCAGCCTTGGGCAGGTTCACATCCACTTCTGGGCCCTCTCCTTTGAAGCCAGGCATGCTGATCTTGGGCATTTTCATCTTGGGCATCTTCAGGTGCCAGTCGGGGCCATGAACGTCCACATCTGGCGCATCAATGTCCACTTTGGGGCCCTTGATGTCAACTTCAGGGCCTTCAACTTTGGGCAGGGAAACATCCACATCACCCTTCACTTTCGGACCTTTCAGGTGCAAATCAAAGTCAGGCATGGAGATCTTGGGGGCTTTGATGTTCATCTCAGGCATCTTGAACTTAGGACCTTTCAACTTTCCTTCTGGTCCTTCAATGTTAACATCAGGACCTTCAATGTCCACTTTGGGTGCTGAGATATCGATGTCAGCCTTGGGGAGGTTCACATCCACTTCCGGGCCCTCTGCTTTGAAGCCAGGCATGCTGAATTTGGGCATTTTCATCTTGGGCATCTTCAGGTGCCAGTCTGGTCCATGAACTTCAGGAGCACTTATGTCTACTTTGGGGCCCTTGATGTTAACATCTGGTACTTTACCTTCCACCTCAGGTACAGACACATCAACATCCCCCTTGATTTTAGGTCCTTTCAGATTTAAGTCCACATCAGGCATAGAAATATTTGGGGCTTTGAAATGCATATCAGGCATCTTGAACTTGGGGCCTTTCAATTTGCCCTCTGGTCCTTCAATGTCAATATCTGGCCTACTCATGTCACCTTTGAGGTCACCTTCCAATTTGGGAACATCTACATCCACCTCGCCCTTGATCTTGGGGCTTTTCAAGTGTAGATTAATGTCTGGCATGGAGATTTTGGGAGCTTTAAAATGCATGTCTGGCATCTTAAATTTAGGACTTTTCCATTTGCCATCTGGGCCTTCCACAGCTACATCTGGCATGTCAACATCCAACTTGGGGCCCTTGACATCCAATTCTGGACCCTTTAAATCTCCTTCCATCTTTGGAGCAGAAGCATCAAAATCTCCTTTAATTTTAGGCCCCTTCAAGTTGAAGTCAACATCAGGCATGGAAATCTTGGGAGCATGAAAGTGCATTTCTGGCATCTTGAACTTGGGGCCTTTCAGTTTTCCTTCTGGACCTTCAATGTTCACATCTGGGGCTTCAATGTCAACCTTGGGTACGGAGATGTCAACGTCTGCCTTGGGCAGGTTCACATCCACTTCTGGGCCCTCTCCTTTGAAGCCAGGCATGCTGAACTTGGGCATTTTCATCTTGGGCATCTTCAGGTGCCAGTCTGGGCCGTGAACATTCACATCTGGAGCATCAATGTCAACCTTGGGTCCTTTGATGTCCACATCTGGCACTTTCATTTCACCTTCTATCTTGGGCACTGACACATCCACATCCCCTTTGACTTTGGGGCCTTTCAAGTTTAAGTCTACATCAGGCATGGAGATCTTGGGAGTCTTGAAGTGCATCTCAGGCATCTTAAACTTGGGACCTTTCAATTTTGCATCAGGACATTCCAGATCAACGTCAGGTACCTCCATGTCCACGCTGGGGCCTTTCAAATCTCCCTCCAACTTTGGCACAGACACATCCACATCCCCTTTGACTTTGGGGCCTTTCAAGTGTAAGTCTACATCAGGCATGGAGATCTTGGGGGTCTTGAAGTGCATCTCAGGCATCTTAAACTTTGGGCCCTTCAATTTCCCTTCTGGTCCCTCAAGGCTCACATCTGGAGCTTCGATGTCAACCTTGGGTCCAGAGATGTCAACGTTGGCCTTGGGCAGGTTCACATCCACTTCTGGGCCCTCTCCTTTGAAGCCAGGCATGCTGAACTTGGGCATTTTCATCTTGGGCATCTTCAGGTGCCAGTCGGGGCCGTGAACATCCACATCTGGGACATCAACATCCACTTTGGGTCCTTTGATGTCCACATCTGGCACTTTCATTTCACCTTCTATCTTGGGCACTGACACATCCACATCCCCTTTGACTTTGGGGCCTTTCAAGTGTACATCAGGCATGGAGATCTTGGGAGTCTTAAAGTGCATCTCAGGCATCTTAAACTTGGGACCTTTCAATTTTGCATCAGGACATTCCAGATCAATGTCAGGTACCTCCATGTCCACGCTGGGGCCTTTCAAATCTCCCTCCAACTTTGGCACAGACATATCCACATCCCCTTTGACTTTGGGGCCTTTTAAGTGTAAGTCTACATCAGGCATGGAGATCTTGGGGGTCTTGAAGTGCATCTCAGGCATCTTAAACTTAGGGCCTTTCAACTTTGCATCAGGACATTCCAGATTAACATCAGGCACCTCCACGTCCATGCTGGGGCCTTTGATATCAACTTGTGGACCTCTGATATCACCTTCTAGTTCTGGCATAGTAGCATCTATCTCTCCTTTCAGTTTGGGTCCTTTCAAATTCAAGTCCACATCTGGCACGGATATCTTGGAAGTTTTGATATTCAATTTAGGCATCTTAAATTTAGAACCTTTTAATTTTCCTTCTGGTCCCTCAATATCCAAATCAGGAGCATCAATGTCCACTTTGGGGCCAGAAACATTAATGTCAGCCTTGGGCAGATTCACATCCACTTCTGGGCCCTCTCCTTTGAAGCCAGGCATGCTGAACTTGGGCATTTTCACCTTGGGCATCTTCAGGTGCCAGTCTGGGCCGTGAACATCCACATCTGGAGCATCAATATCAACCTTGGGTCCTTTGATGTCCACATCTGGCACTTTCATTTCACCTTCTATCTTGGGCACTGACACATCCACATCCCCTTTGACTTTGGGGCCTTTCAAGTCTACATCAGGCATGGAGATCTTGGGAGTCTTGAAGTGCATCTCAGGCATCTTAAACTTAGGGCCTTTCATCTTTCCTTCAGGACATTCAATATCAATATCACCAACATTCACATCCACCTGAGGAGCTTTCACACCAATTTCAGGAACTTTCAAGTCTCCTTCCACTTTAGGAAGAGAGACATCTACATCAGTTTTCAGTTTAGGAGCTTTCAGATTAAGTCCAACATCAGGCATAGAAATTTTGTGTGTCTGTATATTCATGCTTGGCATTTTGAACTTGGGACCTTTAAGTTTCCCCTCTGGACCTTCAAGAGTCACATCTGGAGCATTAATGTCTACTTTGGGTCCAGAGACATCAATGTCAGACTTGGGGAGGTTCACATCCACTTCTGGGCCCTCTCCTTTGAAGCCTGGCATGCTGAACTTGGGCATTTTCACTTTGGGCATCTTCAGGTGCCAGTCTGGGCCATGAACTCCCACGTCTGGTGTATTAATATCCACTTTGGGGCCTTTAATGTCAACATCAGGAGCTTTTATCTCTCCTTCCATTTTTGGGGCTGTAACATCATAGTCTCCTTTCATTTTAGGACCTTTCAAATGCAAACTAACATCTGGCATGGGTATCTTCTGAGACTTTATATTCATTTCTGGCATCTTAAATTTAGGACCCTTTAGTTTTGCATCTGGACCTTCAATATTCACATCTGGAACTTCCACAGCCACCTTGGGTCCGGAGATGTCAATGTCAGCCTTGGGCAGGTTCACATCCACTTCTGGACCCTCTCCTTTGAAGCCTGGCATGCTGAATTTAGGCATTTTCATTTTAGGCATCTTAAGGTGCCAGTCGGGGCCATGAATATCCACATCCGGGGCACTAACGTCAACCTTGGGCCCTTTAAGGTCGACATCTGGCACTCTTATTTCACCTTGTACATCAGGCAAAGAGAGATCTGCATCTCCCTTTAATTTTGGTCCCTTAAGATTTAAGTTCACATCAGGCATGGAGACCTTGGGAGCTTTGAAGTGCATCTCAGGCATCTTAAACTTCGGACCCTTCAGCTTCCCTTCTGGTCCCTCAAGGCTCACATCTGGGGCTTCGATGTCAATCTTGGGTCCGGAGATGTCAACGTCAGCCTTGGGCAGGTTCACATCCACTTCTGGGCCCTCTCCTTTGAAGCCAGGCATGCTGAACTTGGGCATTTTCATCTTGGGCATCTTCAGGTGCCAGTCGGGGCCGTGAACATCCACATCTGGGACATCAACATCCACTTTGGGTCCTCTGATGTCCACATCTGGCACTTTCATTTCACCTTCTATCTTGGGCACTGACACATCCACATCCCCTTTGACTTTGGGGCCTTTCAAGTGTAAGTCTACATCGGGCATGGAAATCTTGGGGGTCTTGAAGTGCATCTCAGGCATCTTAAACTTTGGGCCCTTCAATTTCCCTTCTGGTCCCTCAAGGCTCACATCTGGGGCTTCGATGTCAACCTTGGGTCCGGAGATGTCAACATCAGCCTTGGGCAGGGTCACATCCACTTCGGGGCCCTCTCCTTTGAAGCCAGGCATGCTGAACTTGGGCATTTTCATCTTGGGCATCTTCAAGTTCCAGTCTGGTCCGTGAACATCCACATCTGGGACATCAACGTCTACTTTGGGTCCTTTGATGTCCACATCCGGCACTTTCATTTCACCTTCTATCTTGGGCACTGACACATCCACATCCCCTTTGACTTTGGGGCCTTTCAAGTGTACATCAGGCATGGAGATCTTGGGAGTCTTAAAGTGCATCTCAGGCATCTTAAACTTCGGACCCTTCAGCTTCCCTTCTGGTCCCTCAAGGCTCACATCTGGGGCTTCGATGTCAACCTTGGGTCCGGAGATGTCAACATTGGCCTTGGGCAGGTTCACATCCACTTCTGGGCCCTCTCCTTTGAAGCCAGGCATGCTGAACTTGGGCATTTTCATCTTGGGCATCTTCAGGTGCCAGTCTGGGCCGTGAACATCCACATCTGGGACATCAACGTCCACTTTGGGTCCTTTGATGTCCACATCTGGCACTTTCATTTCACCTTCTACTTTTGGTGCAGACATATCTAGATTTCCCTTCACTTTGGGTCCTTTAAGATCGAGGTCAACATCAGGCAAAGTCATCTTAGGAGCTTTGAAGTGCATCTCAGGCATCTTAAACTTAGGGCCTTTCAACTTCCCTTCAGGTCCTTCAAGGCTCAGATCTGGAGCACTAACATCTACCTTGGGTGCAGAAAGGTCCACATCAGGCTTGGGCAGGTTCACATCCAGGTCTGGGCCCTCTCCTCTGAGGCTGGGCATGGTAAATTTGGGCATTTTCATCTTGGGCATCTTTAGGTTCCAATCAGGACCATGAACTTCAACATCTGGGGCACTGACATCTACCTTTGGCCCTTTCAGGTCACCTTCCAGCTTTGGCATTGTAACATCATATTCTCCCTTTACCTTGGAACCTTTCATATGCAAGTCGACATCAGGCATGGAGATCTTTGGAGCCTTGATATTCATCTCAGGCATCTTAAATTTTGGACCCTTCAGCTTTCCTTCTGGTCCCTCAAGGCTCACGTCTGGAACTTCAATATCAACCTTGGGTCCTGTGATGTCAATGTCAGCTTTGGGCAGGTTCACATCCACTTCTGGGCCCTCTGTTTTAAAGCCTGGCATGCTGAATTTGGGCATTTTCATCTTGGGCATCTTCAGGTGCCAATCTGGGCCATGAACGTCCACATCTGGGACATCAATGTCCACTTTGGCACTTTTAAGTTCAACATCAGGAACTTTAACCTCACCTTCAATCTTGGGTGCCGTGACATCATATTCTCCTTTTGCACTAGGGCCTTTCAAATGTAAGTCCACATCTGGCATGGAGATCTTTGGGGCTTTGATATTCATCTCAGGCATCTTAAATTTGGATCCTTTCAATTTTCCTTCTGGTCCCTCAATTCTCACATCGGGGGCACTAACATCTACCTTTGGCCCAGAAATGTCCACATCAGCCTTGGGTAGGTTTACACTCACATCTGCACCCTCTGCTTTGAGCCCTGGCACACTGAATTTAGGCATTTTCATCTTGGGCATCTTCAGATGCCAGTCTGGGCCATGAACATCCCCATCTGGAGCATTAATGTCCACCTGGGGGCCTTTCAGTTCCCCTTCAAGTTTTGGTACTGTTATATCATACTCTCCTTTCATCTTTGTGCCTTTAACATGTAGCTCTACATCAGGCATGGAGATCTTTGGTGTCTTGACACTCACTTCAGGCAACTTAACATCAGAGCCTTTAAGTTCACCCCCCAGGCCTCCTATGTTGACATTAGGGGCTTCCATGTTGACCTTGGGCCCTGTAATACTGACATGTCCTTTGGGTAGATTCACATCTACATCTGGACCTTCCCCTTTGACTCCTGGAGTGCTGAACTTGGGCATTTTCATCTTGGGCATTTTCAGGTTCCATTCTGGGCCATGAATTTCCACATCTGGGGCACTGACATCCACTTTGGGGCCTTTGACATCAACTTCAGGGACTTTGACTTTCCCTTCTACTTTTGGGAGTGCAACATCTGCACCCCCTTTCACTTTCGGTGCACCCACAGTTAAGTCTACATCTGCCATAGAGATACTGCAGGTTCCAACTTTCCCAGGAGAACCACTCAGCTTGGGTCCTGCCAGGGTCCCCTCTAGGCTTGGTGTCTCTATGTCCACTTTGGAGCCTTTAACTGTCACTTGAGGTCCCTTAATATCACCTTGCACCTCCTGAGTGGGGACCTTAATATCTCCTTTCAGTTTGGAGGACCCAAGGCTCAGATCCACGTCCTGCAGGGAGATTTTAGGTTTCTGAATAATCATTTCAGGATTCTTGACTTTAGTACCCTTTATCTTCCCTTCCAGCCCCCCAGTAGCAACCTCGGGCAGGCTGACGTCCCCAGAGACCCCAGGAAGAGTCACTTCCCCTGTGGGTAGTGTCACATCAATTCCAGCTCCTCCCTTAGAACCTGATATGGAGAATTTGGGGACTTTCACCTTGGGCATATTTAGTTTGCCTCCAGGCCCATGAATGTCAACATCAGAGCCTTGAACTTCCACACTGGGGCCAGTGATGCTGCCCTTGACTTTTGGAGCAGAGATGTTCACCCCTATGCTCCCCTGTGGCTTGGCACCTTTCAGGCCTAGACCTCCTTCAAGTGATGGTCCAGTAATCGGGGGGCCCTTCAGCTTCCCCTCAATATTGGCACAGGGAGCACTGACTTCTAGATGAGGAGCCTGGATGTTCCCACCAACGGTCACACCTGGCTTGCTGTCCTTGTGCCCCACAGAGAATTCAGGTGCAAAAACGTTAAACCCTTTCTCTGATGCCTGGCCCTCAGGCCCTGTGGAGACACCAAATTTTGGCATCTTCATGGTGGGAATTTTAATTTTTCCATTATTTTCACTCTCAAGAGATGGGCCCTGTCCCTCTACTGCCCCACCCCCAAGAGAAGATGAAATGCCCACTCCTGGAACTTGGACCCCCCCTTTGCCACCCAAGTCCAAGCCCTTTGCACCAACAGTGATGTCTGGGCTGCCCACCTTTACACCAGGCACGGTGACCTGGAGTTTGGAGTGGCCGGCACCTTGGAGCTCTGGTCCGGAAGTAGAAATGGAACCAGCTTGAATGTCCACAGCAGAGCCTGTGGTGGGAGACACTGCCCCCATGCCCGAGGGCAGCCTGATCACTGTCTTCCCAGGCTGGGCCTCCACATCCACAGTGGAGATTCCAGTCAGTTCATGCCGTGGAATCTTGATCTTGAACTCAGGGCTGCTGATGTCGATGTCCTTGGCTCCTTCCCGGCCCGTCACATCCACAGTGTAGGCCGTGACCCTTCTAGTCACCGTGATGGTGCGGCTCTGGGTCTCCCCTTCCACTCCATCCTCCGACTTCAGCCGAGGCTTGATCTTCGTGTCATAGATGCGCTGGTACTCCTCATCATCCCCGCTCTGCAGAGAGACACGCCCAGCAGAGGTTGCAGCAGCGTCTGCCTGAGTTACAGGCGCCAGCCGCAGCCCAGCCAGTTTCCCAAAGAAGCTGGGACCATAACGGCAGTCCGCAGAGCCTCCCGGGGCAGAGCACAGAGGGCTGACGAGAGGGGCTGACAACCACATCACAGGAGGAAGATAGAAGTGATTTGGGGAAACTCCAGGAAGCAAAAGCCTTGGGGAGAGGACGGGGTGTAGACTCCTGGGTGGCACAGTGTGGGAAAAGGATTAACAATCGATTCTATCCTCAAGTCACCTGTCAAGTACTGGGGACGCCTCCAGGCGACCCTAAGGCTCGCAACTCTCAACACCCTGGCATGTTTAAGGGGGGAGCCCTGGAAAGCTGGGTTCAGAGCAGCCGTGCTTACGCAAACACTTTCCCTTTGAGCCCCACTATCTGTTACAGAAACAAGCCATCCAAAGGAGCGGGGAGATGTCCCTCAGGCACTTTGTGGCCCAGCCTCTGACTCACAGATGAGTCCAGGCCTCTGGAAGCAGACAAATGTTCTGTGAGGTAGAGCTGGACACCTGTGAAATCATTTCAAAGATTCTGGCAAAGCAGCAGACCTTCCTCCTGGCACCTAGGACCAAACAGCATGTGCCGATGCCCACGTTTCAGCGCTCTGAAGAGACTGATTTGGAGGGGCAGCATCAGTCGCATGCCACCCGTGAATAGGAACAACCAGGCTGACTCAACAGAGAGCGCAGAGGGGTGAAATTAGAAGAAGGAGTGACAGGAGAAGTCCAGTTGGCAGACAGAAGGCTCAGGAAGTGGGGCCAGCAGGTCGGTGCGGCCGGGGGAGGTCAGGACGCAGACGGGCCAGCAAGGCACTCACCAGAACCACTTCAGAAGTGTGGGAGCTGAAGACCTCGTGGGTCCAGGTCTGGCCAGGCTCAGGGGAGCGGTCCCCCTTACGGTGCAGCTTCAGACCCACAGTGTGGTGCCCCATGCAACTCAGCAGCTGCGTCACCTCACCCGACTGCAGGTTGTCAAAGTAGATGGTGGCACCCACAATCTGGTCCCCTGAGCAGGGAGGAACAAGAAGCAGGTCTCAGGGAAATGACACACAAACACTGTGTGCTCGGCACTCCAACTGACTTGCATTTAATGCATGTCATGACCATTCTGCAAGGCAGGTGTGGTACTACCCCTTATACAGATGAGGAAACTGAGGCTTAGAGAGGTCGGCTAGTTTTCCCAAAGTGGCATGAACTCATGAGTGGTGGAGTCAGCACTGAGGACTGCCTCCACCTCCCTCCGCGGACCACCTTCCCCAGGGATCATGAGCGAGTGACGGGCACAGTGGGCAAGAGAGGGCAGGGCTTGGGTACAAACCACCCTGACGGCACAGGGACCGCGCCCTCCACAGCCACATGTCCACTCCTGCTTGCCCCTACCCTTCCCTCTGCCACCTTCACCCACCCCACCCCAGTCCCCAGTCTACACCCTGAGGTGACTCACCCTCCTTGACCACCCCAGTGCGGGCCGCAGGGGAATTCTGCATGACCTCCTGCACAAAGACACCGTCTTCCCTCTGGGCAATGGTCAGCCCGTGGGAGCCACTGCCCTGCCAGTTGGGCAGCAGCAGCTCCCGCGTTGTCTCCTCCTCCTTCTCCATCTGGAAGGAGGGAAGGGAATGAGTTTAAGGGGGCGAGGCATAAAGCACACCAATAAGAGGATGAGAAGGACGTGAACTCTCAGGGAGTGGCACACTGTCTCCAAGGTGCTCACTTCCGCGGTAGAGATGCTCCACGACACAACAGACAAGACAGAAAGCGGACCGTGGACGCAACCGGCCTCAGGGCACCAGCTCCAGGTGGCTCCCGCCCGCCCACACCCAGCTTCCTGGTGCCACCCAGGGGTCTCCACCCACCTCACCCCATCACCTCCAACTCTCTCATCACCCTCCCTCCAACTGACCTTTTGCAGGACTCGGTTCAGGAGCGAATGCCTTGCCAGGAGCCCGCCCCTCCTTCTTGTCCTCTCCTCAGTCTCTCTCGTGGGGAATCTCGGTCACACAGCCTAGGGAAAAACTCACAATGACGCATGCACTCTGCACCAGCTTGCTCAAACCCCGAGCGGAGGCCACGCAAGTGACGGCTGGATGTTCTGCTCCGCAGGCCAGACGGAGACCTTGAGCCCTCACGGTCATCAGTTCCATTCACACACGACTCGTCAGCCTGGCAGCAAGGAGGAGGGTTACAGGAGGCCAGACTCAGAGTCACCTCCTGGTTCTGTGTCCTCCCAGTTGGGTGACCCCAGCCAAGTCCCTCAAGACCTCCGAGGCTCCATCTCCTCATCCGTGACCACGGAGAGGATAAAGGACATCTGCGAGGACAGAAGGAGAGGGCGCCGGCCTGAAAAGCTCTGGGGCACAGGAGCCCCCTGAGGTACCCATCCCCATTAGGGTCTTTATACCAACCAGCTTCAGGAGGGAGCTGCTGCTGCCCCCAACTTACAGACAGAAAGACCGACATTCAGAGGCCAATTTGCCCAAGGTCCACACACAATAAGCAAGCCTGGGCTCAGACCCAAATCTGTACCTCCTTCCCCTACTGTATCAGCTCTGCAGGTGGCGACTGGCAGGCCTGCAAGCAGGGACGGTGGTGACGGTGACACTGGGTCACCCCATCTAAATCAGTCGTCAGGACCAGGGGGACCCTCGCCAGCTGGGAGCTCCACAAGCCCTGTCACAGGCAGCCACGAACAAAGGAAGCCCCCGGCTTCCCCCTCCAAACTCAGCGTGCCCCGCCGCCCCGCCCCGGCACCAACCCATCCCGGCCTGAGAGGCTGGAGTCCAGCTGAGCTGCCTCAGGGACGTGGTGAGTCAGGGCCCATCTGGCCACCCACGCTGGGCCCCGGGCCAGGCTCCCATAGGTGCGGGCACCAAGGAGCAAAGACGCCCTCCAGCCACAGGATGAGCTGTCAGCAGGAGAGGGGCCCTGAGAAGGCAGGACTCCAATGCAGTTCAGGGCCTACCTCCACCCGCACCGAATGGCAGCGGCATCACTCAGAGCCTGTCTGTGAAACTGGGGGACGATGTCAATCACCGAGCACCTGGCCCAGCGCCCCCCCCCCCACAGCCATTTACATGCAGAAATTAGTCAGCTGATCGGTAACTGTGTACATTCTGATCACCTCCTGCATGTCCCACATTGTACTGGGCCCTGCAGAGCGAACGAGCAGGGGACAGACAGCTCAGCTCAGCACCAAATTGCACGCCGCGTTAGGCTGTCACCTAACTGCACTCTTGATTCCCCCACGGAGATGTAAAAGACTCAGTTCCTGTCCTGGATATAAAACAAGAACAAAGTGCTCTGGGTGTGATTGGTTTGGCCTCAGAATGTTCCAGAGGCTTGGGAGACTTTTGAGGGGAATGGAATATAAAGGGGCTCTTGAAGGTGCTCGAGGGAAACTCCAAGAAACAAGATTACTCGTGGACAAAACAGGCACTTGGCGCTTCCGATGTTGGGCAGGTCACAACACGGGAGGAGATAACCACATGGACCCTCAGGTGCCCAGACCACCTGAACTCACACACCTGCGGTGTTTATGATGCGGCCCTTCCCCAGCACAGGTGCCGCTAGGAGGCCAGCAGAGTCGTGCAGGGGGAGCAGCCTGTGGGGACAGGTGTGAGCTGGGCCAACGCCTCCTCCCTTCCTGACCAGCAGAGCAGGTCGACAAGAAGTCACACGGACACTTTCTAACATTAACAGCGGAGCCAGAACTTGAACTGGGTCTCCCCAGCGGCCGGTGCTGAGGAGCCAGCCCAGCAGACGGGAGCCAGGCAGGGCAGGGGAGGAAAAGGCCTTGCAGCCTGAGAGCTTCTCAGATCTCTGAAGCCACTGGTCGCCGGGCACCTGTCTTCCTCCTTGAGCGCACCCCCTGCCCCCCGCGCAGTTTCTCAGCCCAGCGTCCTGGTGCTGAGCCAGCAGCGGCCGAGCTCCTCCTCGCCCACATCTCAGCCCCACCCTCCCTCCTTCCCCCATGAGTCACTGTGGCCACAACAGCTCCAAACATGCTAAGGGCAACACCTAAAAACCAATCGACAAAGCGCTTCACAGGCCAGACCCCTGGTGGCAGAGGGGCCGGGGCTCCAGTGGACGCAGGCAGTCGGCTTCCCTGCCAGCTCCTCAAACAGAACCCTAAGCCAGACGGAGCCCTAGGGATGGAGTCCCTAGAAGCACAGCCGGGAGGCTCACGAGGAACTTGCTACATGCCTGGACCCAGGCTGCTGAGGAGGGGAGAGGACCATCTGGAGGAGGGCAGGGTCCACAGGCCGTGAGAACAGGAGGCCCTGGACCCGGGGCCACAGGTCGGCCCTGGCAGAACGCCCACTGGCTTCCTGGCCAGGTGGAGCTGCCAACCACCCTGCCTGCCCTGGCTCGGCTGCCTCCTGGCGCAGCCAGGAGGACTCCCCTCCCCTCTCATCTGATCTGGGCCACGCAGATGGCTGGACGTGGGGGTGCCGATAGGGGATGCAAGGCCACTGTGCCCGGGGCGTGTCCTCTGCATCAGGGCCCCAGCCCTCAGTCTCCGCACCCCTGGAGCCTGTACCAAGCCCAGCTGGCCCTTCCTCCCACACAAGTCAGGACAAGCCAGGCTGCCCAAAGCAGGGTCTCTGGCACTCTGGGGAATTCGGTACCTTCAGCCAAAGTGTCGTAAGCCTTTGGAGCTGTGCTGTCCAACAAGGTAGCCGCACGTGGCTATTTAAATTTAAATTAACTGAAATTAAATTTAAAATTTAGCTCCCTGGTTGCAGTAGTCACCTTTCAAGAGCTCGACAGCCCCCATGGCTACCACATAGGAGAGCACACACAGAGGACATTCCCCCACTGCAGAAAAAGGTCACAGCACTGCCTGTTATTTACACGTGGAGAAAGTGGGGTCCAGGGGTGAGAATGGGGGAGTGTCGGGGTCCTGGAGCTGCCTGCCCCTGCTCCCCCCAGCCCGCCCTGCCTGCCCACCCCAGCGCTGGCTCACAGTCCTCAGTGACGGGACAGCAGGGTGGAAGCGGAGACCCCCCGAGGCAGAGGGCTGCCTGGAGGGCCGCCAACGAGTGAGATGGTGAGGCCACTCCAGCTGCAAGGCAGAGAGGGCACACGTCTGAGACTGCACGACAGAGCGCCGCTCGGCCCGACGCCGCGAGGAGAACGAAGCTGTCCAGTGCAATCAAAACCTCAAAGAGGATGCGCAGAGCCTCAGGCTCTGCCCCTGCCGCCGATGTAGATGGGGCCAACACCTGGACAGATGCAGGAAGGAGACTCCTTGCCCTGGGCAAAGGGCTCCACCAGGTGTGACCTCCAGAGGAGCACCCTCCTTCACTGCCACCAGGGAACAGGGCCCCTTCTTCCCCAGAGCCCGTAGGAAGACAGCCAGGGCGGGGCCCAGGCTACTGCTGCAGCAGCTGGAGACTGGCATGCAGCTAGCGTCAGCGTTGAGAGCACAGGAATTGGTGTTCTCTCTCTCTCTCTCTCTCTCTCTCTCTCTCTCTCTCTCTCTCTCTCTCTCTCTCTCTGTCTTTCTCACCCCCCAAGAGACAAGGCATGGGTGTCAACGCCCCCACGCCCCAAACCTGAAGACAAGATGCACACACCAGAGGAGCACAGGTCGGCGCACACACCCAGCACTGGCTGGACACAAGAAGTGATGCTCTGAGGGACACTCGCACCCACAATGAGGAGGACACTAATAGCAGTGAAACTTCCAGCCAGCACCACAGGACACACACACACACACACACACACACACACACGAGTGAACCGACCCACCGCACACACAGGCCCAGGAGAAGCAGCCCCCAGGCCAGGGACAATGAAATGATTCACCATGGGGCAGGGACCACCACCCGGCGGAAAGCCCCAGAACACTTATAACCAGGGCCACGTAAAAAAGATACACCCAGAGGGGCAACCTACGCTCATAAACATTCACCAGACTTCAAAGAGGAAGAGAAAGCTCCACATTGAAAGAAAAGCCCAACCAGCTGGAAGAGAATTTTGCAGAGCTCCTAGGGTGTGCCGGGCAGGCGCCGGGCTCGAGTTCCATGCCCGGGGTCTCATCCGATCCCCAAACAGCCCTATGTGATTAAAAATTCATATCCTTATTTTAGAGATGCCGAAACAGGGCCGCGAGGTGCGTGACTCACCCAAGTATGAGGCAGGGTTGACGTGCAAGCCCTGGGGGCTCTGTCGCCATTGGGGGACAAAGGCACAAATAAATGCACACAGGATGCGAAACCACAGAGAAAGATGCGCCAGGGAGGTACACGGGAGAGAGAAACCTACGCTGGAGGTAGGGAGAGTCAGACCCAGAGACACACCCACAGGAAGACGGGCCTCGTCCTAGTCCAGCTTGTGGGCAGCAGACCCAGAACGGCAGTGTCCCGGGCACCCCGAAGCCCAGGATCCGAGGGGTCTTTTGGTTAAAAGGCTTCTGGAGGCTACATCTTCAGGGGTCAGAAATCCTGAGCTACCCCAAGGTCTAGACTAAGAAAGGCATCCCCTTCTGGGGCTTGGACAGCACAGGACCCACAGGGCCAGGCCCTGGGTGGGCAAGGCAAACCTTTCCAATCCCTGAGAAAGGGGAACAGCAGCGGCAGGCAGACCTGCACCCCAGAGGGAGGGACAAGGAGAAACCCGGAGGTGGATCTCTTCCGGGGCCTAAGCCTCCAAGTGGACCTCCACGAACGCAGCTGTCAGACCGCTGTCTGGGGCAAACACCAGGGCCTAGTCTAACTGGAGGAGACCTGCACGGCCATCTCCAGGTGCAGGCTGGAAGCAAGAACTTTTACACTCAGCTGACTCTGGGCGGCACCCCAGGCGGGGGCGCGGGGGTTGGGGGGGCATCCTTGCAACCTGAACGCAATGCGTGTCAAGAGGATGGAATTGCCATGGAAAATGAGACCACCACCAGCGACATGGGCACTGGAGAGACATTCGGAGACAGACACACAAGGACGCATGCCCGGTGCACAGACACACTCATCTGCCCCACTCTCTGTTCTCCACAGCCCAGAGCAGGCCCAGAGCTCCGTCGGGGCAGCGCCGGGCACCTACACCTGTTAACCTGGTGGCCAGGGTCTCTGCCTTCCGTCACCTGTGGGCACCTGCCTATCTTACTCCCTTGTGCCTGGGCCACTGGCCCAGCCCGCAACCCAGCAGGAGGACGTTTTCCCAGCCTCCACTCCAGCCCCAGCCAGGCCTCGCCACCACGCTGGCTTTCTGCACCTTGACTTCCAGGGCTGCCAGCTGCTTCCTGGGCCCCGCCCATCTGCCGGTCTCCCTCTCGTGCGGCCACTTCCCCGGTGCGCTCTGAAGCCCATTCTCAGTTCTCACTCCCTGCGGGAAGGGAGCTTCCCTCCTCCTCCCCTGACCAAGGGGGACTCTCCCTTCCTTGTGAAAGGGGCCTGGGAGCAGCACTACATTCTCCAGCAGGAGGTCCCCACACCTTGTCACAGAGCCAGAGAGGCATGCGCCCTGACCCGGAGCTGCTGGATGGAAACCAAGTCTGCAGACCGTCGCCCTCCATGGGGGTGGGAGGGGAAGAACCCGCTGGCTCTCCCCGGGGGGGCAGATTACAGCTTGGGAGCTGCCCACCAGCCCTACCGGCACCCTTACAAGAGCCCCCACCAAGGCCCAGCTCTCCACCCAGTGGCCAGGCCACGCCAGTGCAGGGTGCATGGCTGCCAAAGAGCCGCCCCCAACCCAGCCAGGACACGAAGCTCGAAGTCCGGATCAGCTCGAGGCACTTCCCCTTCCCCTAGAACCTCCGCTCTGGCCCCCGGGGACAGGGCAGGATGCCCCTCCCTGACCGCCCAGGCCAGCGCCTCGCTCAGCGGGTCCAGGCCTCACCCCCAGGGCTGTCCTTGCCCTCCTGGCGGGCCTCTGGGCCCAAACTCCAGGGTCCCAAACCTGTCCGCGATGGAGAAACTGACTTTAGTCCTTGCCGACAGCCCCTGCGGGAGGTCCCCGTGAAGCCCCCACCACCAGGGCGAGTCCCATGGCTGTCCCCTGCCCTATAGACCCCAGACACAAGTACTGGGAACATACCCGGGTGCAAGATAACGCAGGGGCCACCGTGCACACACAGAGGGACACCCTCTCCCAGGTAACGGCACACCCCTCACCGCTGTGACACTGGCAGACACAGCACCCCAAGGCCACAGGGAAGCATCAACCTTTGGATGCAGGACCGCCAGCTGCAACAGCCCAGCCAGCCCCCTGATGGGAACTAAGGCCAGCAGGAAGGAAGAGAGGCTCCGCCAAAACATACATCCCTGCTGAGCCCTGCTGCGGCCCACCCTCGTGGCGCCCGGCAAGCCTTCTGCGGGCCCACCCGTGGAGGTAGTGGAGGTAACTGTGCTTGCTCAGGAAGGCCCGCGGGCCTCGAGGGATGGCTGGAGCCTGGGGAATCCGCAGCTCCCCGGGAGCCTGGGTGAAGCCACGGGAGACCGAGAGAGCAGGAGGCCCTAGACACTGGCGGCTGTAACGTCCTAAACCCTCTCGGGTGGCCACCTCCCTTCCACGTGGTCAGCCCAGCTCCAGGGAGAGGGACCTGGGGGTGGCTGGGAGCGGTGGGGGAGGGCCAGCAGGGGCAGAGATCCTGTCAGGAGTCAGACCAGCTCTCCCGGTCTGCCCCTTTGTCTGTCCCCAGGCGGTTCCCAGGTACTGAAGAGGGTGGTGACCACACCCCAAGCCCCACACACCCCTCCGCCTCCACGGCTTTGCTGCAACCCCTCAAACCAGCTCCTCAGGCTCCGGGTGATGAGCTCTGCCAGGGCCGGCCAGCCAGTTCCAAGTTGAGCCAAAGATTCCAGCCTGGCGGCGCCCAGGCACCTCCACCCAGGGCCTCCTGGGGGCTGGGGTGATCCAGGGGACCCCCAGCTCATCCCCTGCCCTCGACTGACGTGAGCCTCCCCCCTCACAGATCTCCCACAGTTTACTCTCTCGTGTCCCTTCCCAGGCCCGGGTCTCATCCCCTGAGCCAAGTCTGGCTGGTGCACGTGCTCAGCTCCTTGAGGGTGGCTCTTCCAGGGGCTGCCCAGACTAGGCCCCTGAATCCCGGCTGCGGGCCTCCTCCATATTGCCGCACTAAGCCCTGAATGACTTCCGTGGCTCCCTGTGTGCCCTGCTCTCTAACCAATGTCCCTGGGCGTAACCTCTTAAGGACGGGGTTTTAGAGACACCCTCCAATCTCCGTCTCCAATCACCCAGACCCTTCGTCCTCTGCCAGCCCAGTTCTCGTGGTCCTAGGCCCTTTCCCACCTTCCTTCATCCAAAAGCTCACAGCTCACAGCAAGGAGGTCCCCCCTGCGCCTGGGGCTCCCTCGGCACACTCACCTCCCGCCCGCTGGCCCAGCCCACCATCCCTGCGAGAGGAGAAGGAAGCTTCCCCATTCAGCTTCGGAAAGGAAGTGAGCGCCACACCCTGCCCCAGGGGTTTCCCTCGTGGCCTGCAGGGGAAGAAGGGGCAGGAAAGCAGGATCCACTCCCCTAATTTACACCCAGCTAGGTGTGGAGACCCTAAAAAGTCCCCCAAGGCACCTCCAATCCCCCCCTCCCCTCCACTCCCTAGCCTGCACCACAGCCCCCAAGGCATCCCTGCATCCGGCGGAATCAACCCAGCCCCTATCATGTGCTAATCTGTGTGAGGAGGGCCATGTGACCCCTGCTGCCAGAGTGGATTCCAACACAGGACACTTTCAAAATCAATTAGCGGGCGCTGTGCTTGAAACATAGAGGTAAATATCTGGGTTTCTTCCTCCCAGAAACTCCAGGTCATTCTCTAAGGACCCCACTTCACGGGAAGATACCACCCTGGCTTTCCACAAATCCACTCCACAGAGCAGGGCTCTCAGCAGCCGCGGCTGGCTTTCCGGGGGTACCTCCCGCCACCAACACCACCAGCGCCGCTCGGGTGGCCACACCCAGTGCAAGGCGAGAGCACACACTGCGCACACAATTCTCTGTGGCCACATCAAGCAGAGGCGCCAGTGCCACCCCCCACCTGGTGTTCAGGCCCAGTGAGAGCTGTGAGACGCCCCATCTGCCCACTCCAATCCCCTCCCACGCCAGAGGCACTGCCAGCCCGGCTCAGACCCGACGTGTCCCTCCAGGCCGGCGTCGCCAAGGGGCTGCTCCCCGACATCCCCCTGCCCGGGCGCTGCAGGGGGCGCCCAGCCCTGTCAGGGGAGGGCCGGGCCCTCGCACACTGCACACCCTCGGTCGGCGAGGGAAAGCCTTACATAACACAGTTCGAACACACCCTGAGCACACTGCCTTCCCAACTCCGCGGCGGGACCTGGCCCCGGGGCCCTGTCTCCTGGAGCGCACCGCTTCAGTGCAGCGTTGCAAAGAGCGCGGCTCGGCCCTCCTCCCACGCCGAGCCGGCTCCAGCCCCCGCTCCCACACACAGCCCCTTCCCCCTCCCCTTGGCCCCCCACCACTCCTCCCGAGTTCTGGTTTGAATTAGTCACCGGCTCCAACCACCACATTCCTCAGGCTGCTGGCGCCAATCCAGGCGCTGGGGCGGGGGCCATCCCGCCCGGACGGGTTTGGGAGTGGGTTGGGGGAGAGAGCACCGCCTCCGGAGGGGAAGGGGCGGTCCCAAGGGCGGTGCCGCCGCGCAGTCCCCCTCTCCGCCCACCCCAGTGCAGGAATCTCCCTAATTATGTCCCCCGCCCCCACTCCCACCCGTCCCGCAGGGAGGCGCGCTGCAAACTTGCAGGCTCCCCAGCCCTAGAGGAAGAAGGGAGCTTTCGGGGCCGGGGTACAAGGAGGGGCAAGGCTAGGGCGGGGCAACTGGAGGAGGATTGGGGGGCAGCCAGGAGCAAGTGAGGGACAGGCGGGTGGTACAGAATTGGGTGGGGCCGGGAGGACCCAGGACGCGAAGTTCGGCGCGGAGGTGTGGGGAGAGGAGAGGGACAGAGGAGGGTCGCAGGGGCGTCGGAGGGGCCACGGAGCCAAGGCAAGGATCTCGGAAACTCCTCCAGTAAACATGGAATAGGACCGGAGCAGCACGCTGAGCCACCGCCCCGCTGAGAGGGAGGGGGTGGGACGGGGGCCACCAGGCCAGGAACGCGGCGCCCTGACGTGCAGTAGAGCCAAAAATCAGTCCTCGAGAGGAATACAGACTGGAGCAAAGCACGCTTTGGAACAACTTTCCAACTTTGCCCAACTTGCACCCCAACTCCGGGGCCGGAGCTCGGCTCCCAGGGCGCGACGTGTCGCTTCTCTGCGCAGCCCCGGACTGCCCGGCTTGTTCCAAACTGTTTCAGTCCTCTGTGACACCCACCCAAGAGCCCTAGCCCTGCACCCCACCTCCGCCCGCTCCCGGTGTCCGGTTTCCCGACCTCGCTTTCAGTGCGCCCGGCCCCTACCTGCGCGCTCAGCCCCGGGGCACAGCCATGGCTCGCGCTGGGCCGTGGTCGTGGTGCTGCGGCTGCTGCAGGCGTCGAGCCCCGGTCGGGGCGGGTCCGGCAGGGCGGGCGGTGCAGTCCCTGCGGCGGAGCTGCTCCGAGTGGCCGGGCCCCCGTGCGAGGAGGCGGCTCTTGTAACTCCGGCTGGGGCGGGCGGGTCTGCCCGGAGCTGTGGGGAGAGGGCGGGGCCGGGCGGGGCCGGAGTGGGGTTGGGACGAGCTGGGCCAACTCCGACTCCTGAGGGACCCGGGAGCGGGCTGCTGGGGGTGGGGAGGGTGGTAGTGGAGGGGAGAGCCCTGGGGACCAGGGGCGCACATGTTGGAGGTGCCACCTTCCCCCGCCCCCATCCACTGCCCCCTGTCCTGGCCGGGGCCTGGATCTACCACCAACGTATTCAACGTGTAGCTTCACCCGCAGGAAACGCGCCCCAGCTCCCTACAGCTCCTCCAATCCAGCTGACACTGGGAATCAGAACATTTTCCAGAGACGAACAGGGGGTTCAGAAAGGCGGCTGTGGGGGGCTTGGGCGGTTCAGCCTCGACCTCCAGCCTGACACTGAGATTTTGAGCTTTTTCTCAACACAGGCAAACTGTACTTCAAATCCTAGGCCCCGGTCTCCTCAGTGGCTCCCAAGCTCCACGCAGACGCGCCCATTTCCCTTCTTCCCTCTTTCTGGGGGCCCCGAGCCCCTCCCCCGACAGAACCGGCTTGGAGACGCTGCCGCACCTCCTGGAGCCAGTCCCCGGTGCCCGCACCACTGCTGCAGCGACACCGGAGTCAGGCCTGCAAGCCTGGCCCTAGCGGCCTCCCTTTCTCCAGACTCCCCGAGGGAAACCAAGAAGCCGTGCTCCCGCGTGTCCTCTACCTGCCCATTCCCTCTCGGGTCCCTTCTCCGAGCCCCTCCCCCACCTCCCACTTGCTGGAAGCTTTGTTTCCAAATTTACAGTCATTTCCCACAGCCACTTCCAACTGCATGGAGATTTTATTAAATGCTTAATGATAGGGTGTGGGGTCCTTCTGGCTACACAGCCCCCCTTCCACACTCCCATTTTCTTACCCCCCCCATCCTCTACCCTCCCTCCTGGCTGGCCACCCACTGCCCAGGTCAGGCCAGCGTTCCTTCCTTCCTTCCCACATGCTGCAGAAGGGAGACCCCACGCGGGGGACCTGAAAAGACCCCTCCCGGGCAGGAGCGCCCTCCTTGCTGCAAGATCATGAGTGGGCTGGGGCTGAGACCAGAGGCCCTGTCCTCTGAAATGGCAAACATGTTTACAGGCTAAAAATACCCAGCAGCCAACTCTGCTGCCAGCCCTGGGGGCTGTGTCCCAGGTCCAGTTACCCACACAGGGTACAGGCTGTGGGGGAGGGAAGAGACGGCAAAAGGAGACACAGACATGTAGACACTCATATAATGGGCACAGAAAGGTGGAGACACGTGGAGACATTCGGACAGGCATAGACACGCCAAGGCACACGGAGAAGGCAGGGAGAATTGGGCACCAGCATTTCCTCTGTTTTTCTGTCTCTCTCTCTCTCTCTGTGACACACACTTACCCAGAGAGCCGCTCAACCCACAGCGCAGGCGGCCCACCACGCAGGTCGCCAGCTCGCAGCCTTAGGCCGGGCTTTCTGAAGAGCCCCCTGCGTTTGGCCCCGCCCCCCCTTTCCTATCTCCTACCTTATTTGAAGAAACACGATCTAAACTTTTCAACGTTGGGTTGCTTTAAAAAAAATAATAATAAAAACCGAGAGCCAATTATTCCCTTTACCAATGGCTTTCAGACTTTTATTTCCTTTAACATTTACTCAGCATTTTAAATATGGACCAAGAATACAGACACACTGAAGTGGCCTGTAATGCTCCAAGTCAACTAATCCTTGTTGACATATTTTAAATGAAATCAACAATCACAATCAATAAAATATATTTTAAAAGAAAAATAAATGAAATCAATAATACCTCCACATGGTGAAGAATGTAAACAGGGTAGAAAGGCAGAACATGCAAACTGTCTCCTTGCTCCCCTACCCAGTCCCTCTCCCCAGAAGTAACCACTGTGAGCAGTTTACCAAAGGACTTTTAACTTTTTGAAATGAATCATTTGCTTCCTTGAAAATGCACGTGTTCCCAGGGCGTATTAAAAAACGGGAGCTGCTTTCCACCTAGGTTTTCACAGAGATAGTTACGATGAGACACATGCCGCAAAGACATAGGGTATCAGCAAAATAAAGGGCCGTGGGAGTTTGGAGGGAGGGGCTGGGGCGGGAAAGGAAGAGTGGGGAGGGCGTGGGTGTCGGTGTGGACGGTGCGCCCCCACCTCAGGTTGGGCCCCCCAGGAGCGAGAGAGCCGAGGCTGGTGTCCTGGGCTCAGAGCCAACGTATCAGCTCCATTGTTTGTTCTGGCCAGCCTCTTGGTCAACAGGGAAGAAGGCAGGACAGGCTGGTTTTTGGAGCAGCCGCAGAGTAGTGATTACTGTCCAGGTACTTCATTCATGGGGCGGGGGAGGTTACTGCCGCAGTGGGGTGGGGAGTTCTGGGGACTGGATCCTACCCACTGCCCAGGAAGGTAGAAAGGGGTAACCAAGACCCTGCCCCCTAAGAAGCCATGATCTTTTCTGCTGCAGCCAGAGCTGGGGTTTCCTAGGTCAGCCTATTATATAGCCCAGGGGAAGGGAATATTTTCAGCAGGTTTTTTTTGCCCCCCCCGAGAGTTTTCAATGATGTAATTGAAAACACACACACTTAGAAATTTCTGCCAACCCTCTTCAGCCGGCTGTTGTAGCCCCGGCTTCACCCCCGAAGTGGTCCGCAGGGTGACTGTGTCTGACAGGGCGGAAGGCACTTCCACGTGTTCGTTCATTTAGTCGTCTGGGATTGCTCTGGGAGGAGATGGTCTCAGAGAGGGTTAGCGATTTACCTAAAGTCACACAGCCCTCAGAAGCAGGAGCCAAAGCTCTCACTAGCCCTCAGCTCCACGAGGGGAGGGGCGGGGTGAGGGGGGTGGTGTTTGTTCTCTGCTGTGTGCCTGGCCTAGAGCAGTGGCTGGAGCAGAGCACGCACTCGGTTATGTTGTTGAATGAATGAATGAACTTTCCGCAACAGACCCCTGCACCCCTCGCTCTCAGCTCCCTCTCCCCATCAATCCCCAGACTTGCAGACTTTCAGGCTGCTGCCCTAACATTCCCGGTAGCCAATGCAGGCAGCGCCTATGGCGCTGGTGGTGGCGGGGGCACAGGAGATGGAGAACTTGACAAGGTGGGAGCTCTCCCTGCCGGCACTTGGTCCGGAAGGAACCGTGCTTCCACGGCCCTCGCCTTGTGCTCTGAGTTCCTTGCAGGTCCTACGCTTTGGGGAAATTGGATGTTATCTTTTCTGCCAGGTCTTTTCCACAGCTACCTCACCCCGCCACTCACGCACAGACACACGCACTCTTTTTTAGTTACAGTGAGTCCTCTTGGTCCCAACATTGCAAAGAAAAGCTCTGTCCCGTTTCGTTTCGGATTCCCCCATCAAATATAAGGGCTATCCAGGAATCCGGGAGGACTTCAGCCTACTACCCATTGGCCCTCTAGCCCTCCCCGCCTTCCGAGGCAAAGTCCCACACCGTGGGCCTGCAGACTCCCTGGCAACGCCAGGTGAGCTCTAGGGCTTGTCATCACTGGGATACCCCAGCTTCATCACAAGGGCCCCTCCCCTGGGGGGTTCCCTGATGTGTATAGTAGTGTCTGAACTTGGACGCCTGTTGCCCAGCAACCGTGTCTGTTTTGTTCCTATTATGCCTGTTTCCATAGCAACCACAAAGGGGCCTCTGTGGGCAAGCCCCTTGCCAGGGGATTCCCCTTCCGCTCCCTTCTGGCCACAAGTCCCCTTCTTTGAAATCAGTGGTGTGTTACAGAGAAGGAAAGATGTTGACGGCTCAGAAAGTGATCATAGTTTTTAAACTTCGATCCCAAAAGGGAAGTGAAGTGTGCAGTCTGTTCGAAGTCCCTTTGGCAAGCCAGCGTTGGAAGCAGAGAAATGACCTGACCGACAAGCCCTTCCTGGAGGCATCTGAGATTGCCCAGGCCCCACCGCCGCCCCGACCAGGCCCGAGATGAGCATCCCTGCCGACACCAGGCCCTTCTTCTCCATTCAGTCCACATCTTCCTAATCTGTCATCCTCCTCAGCTGAACAGCAAACCTACTGGATGATTCTGGGATCCGAACAGTATTATTTCCTAAGCAGTTCTCAAACTCCGTACTCCTAATCCAAATTCAAAAATCTGAAGCCAGGTAAAACCATCCTCCTCCTCCTGTTCAATTTAAATCCCAGGCTATATTTAAGGCTCAGGTTTCAAATAAGGAGTTCCTGAATTACTCAGACCAGACAGCCAGGAGACGGGCAACTCCCCATCGCCCTCAGTCCTAACTGAAATCTTCAGACCCGAGAGCAACCCAAGTCACAGCTGATTAGAGATAGACAAGACGCAGGGCTCTGCGTACAGACTCGGGGCGGAAAGGAGGCACAGAAAAACCGTTGGGGTCAGAGCGAGGGGACAGATGTGGGCAAGGAGAGCAGGGCTGGTGGCCATGCCAGGCAGGGTTGGATTCCAAGCAGCAGCAAGAGGCGGCCTAGAGGCTGGTGAGTCACGGGTGTGGGGATGCTGTGGGAGCCAGAAGAGAGGAGGGAATGTGGTCCTGGGATTACGGAAAAGAAGCAACAAGACACAATCGAATAAGGCTGTGTGAGGATGGAGGGAGGGAGAGAGAGAAAGAAGAAGAGCTCCGAACTGGCCCGGGGACTGGGCCGACTGACTTGTAAACAGGAGCTGAGGGAGGGAGCTGGAATGATTGGAGCAGCCAACGCCCGGCCAGCTCCCTCCCCGGCAGGGCGCAGGGCACGGGGCGGGAGGGGCCCGCAGAGGGGAACGCCAGCCCCCTTGCCCCTTTTTCGGAATCTGCCTTTCTCCCATCTTTTCCAACTTCCTCTGCCTTTCCTCCAGTTCCCAGGGGAAAGGGAGACCGGGCCCAGGTTTCCTTCTGTCCTAAGCTTACAGTTTCCAAGTCTGGTTTAAGGAAATCAGGCTGAGCAGGGAAGGAAGGGCCCAGGCTGCCCAGAGCCTGAGTCACCACATAGTTGAGGTTCCTGTTACTGGAAGCCCGGCCTCTTCTACACCCTGTGCCCTCTG